GCCCAATAGAACAGGGTTCTGCACGGAGCGGTTTTTTTCCACGGAGCGGAGCGGTTTACACCGCTCCGCTCCGCTCCGTGACATGAACAAAAAAACCGCTCCGCTCCGTGACAATTTTGCCCTCGGATAAAACCGCTCCGCTCCGCTCCGTGGGTCTTCCCAAAAAACCGCACAAGCGGTTTTTTCACGGAGCGGTTTGAGCTACTCCGTCACACAAGCACGGATAAAACCGCAATGCAGTCACGGTTTTTCCCACGGAGTGACGGTTTTTCTCCCACGGAGTCGCACAATTCCCCATCTTGTCCATGCTTGCTCGCGTGTACCTTTGCATTGACAGCACTAGTTGCCAATCAGAGAGGGAGTTTTCGGGGCTAGGATTCGTGTACAACAATCTTCGGCAAGCGATGGTGCCCGACCGGGTCGAGATGGTGATGTTCCTTAGGTCTAACCCCCATCTTATTCCCGAGATCAATAAGTTGGACAACGGGTTGGGGAAGCTGCTTGCAGCGCAGGCTGTTGGGAAGGCTAAAGCTGCATCTGTCCAAGCCGCGAATGCGGGAGAGCAAGTGGTTGTCGATGTCGACTCTGAGTGAACTAGAGGCGTGTTGTATTTGGATGGATACACGAGACGCCTGGCAAGTTTCAACAAGAGGCAAGTGAGATATCATGTGCTGTTGTACGTGTTGCAGGAACGTATGAACGAGTCGAGGAGGTATCGATGTGAATGGTTCCTCTCTAAATAATAAATTAAGTGAATGATTGACAGCTTTTTTTGTCTTTTTGGGCTGTCCTAGTCGCGAGGACGCATACAGTGTCACCCGCGGCCTCCAACCACAGCACACAGTACGGAACAATCGGTCTTCGGTGCACGAAACCCAACGGTTTTCACGAAATTGCAGGTGCTCCGTCGATTGTGTACGGATATCCGTGCGGTTTCGACGTTTTTTTCCGACGGAAAACCGTGCTCAAAGCCACGGTTTCGCGCGGTTTTTGCTACGGAGTAAAGGAACCGCTCCGTACAAAAAACCGCACTACGGATAAACCGCTCCGCTCCGCTCCGTGGCATGAAAAAAAAAACCGCTCCGCTCCGTGAGGCTTTTGGCTTCGGATAAACCGCTCCGCACCGCTCCGTGATAGTTTCAAATGAAAAAAACCGCTCCGCTCCGCTCCGTGGAACTTCAAAGAAAAAAAAAACCGCTCCGCGGCTCCGCGGAGCGGTTCTACTCCGTGTACAACCCTGCAATGGAAGAATCCTGCCCAGCAGGAGAATTGTCATCAACAAAACGCCGCAGCTCTACAATACCTCCATCATACCCATCAAGCCTCCTGCAGAACCACCAACAACACAACGCAGCAGTGCTCTTCGAGCAGTACTATACCTCCATCATGCCCAATANACGAAACCCAACGGTTTTCACGAAATTGCAGGTGCTCCGTCGATTGTGTACGGATATCCGTGCGGTTTCGACGTTTTTTTCCGACGGAAAACCGTGCTAAAAGCCACGGTTTCGCGCGGTTTTTGCTACGGAGTAAAGGAACCGCTCCGTACAAAAAAACGCACTACGGATAAACCGCTCCGCTCCGCTCCGTGGCATGAAAAAAAAAACCGCTCCGCTCCGTGAGGCTTTTGCCTTCGGATAAACCGCTCCGCACCGCTCCGTGATAGTTTCAAATGAAAAAAACCGCTCCGCTCCGCTCCGTGGAACTTCAAAGAAAAAAAAAACCGCTCCGCGGCTCCGCGGAGCGGTTCTACTCCGTGTACAACCCTGCAATGGAAGAATCCTGCCCAGCAGGAGAATTGTCATCAACAAAACGCCGCAGCTCTACAATACCTCCATCATACCCATCAAGCCTCCTGCAGAACCACCAACAACACAACGCAGCAGTGCTCTTCGAGCAGTACTATACCTCCATCATGCCCAATAGAAGAATCCTGCCCAGCAGGAGAATTGTCATCAACAAAACGCCGCAGCTCTACAATACCTCCATCATACCCATCAAGCCTCCTGCAGAACCACCAACAACACAACGCAGCAGTGCTCTTCGAGTAGTACTATACCTCCATCATGCCCATCAGCTCCAGCCCCGTGGCCCAGCACCCGCCAAGCCCACACAAGCGCAGCAGCACATTGTACGTTATCGCCGTCGGAGCAAGCCCCTCCGAGCGCATCATCTGCACCAAGCCTAGAGCCCGCTTCACCTGCGGTCATCAACCAGTCGTGACGGCGGTAGTTTAGGACAAGTGGTCGAGAAGAAGGGTGGTGGCAATAGCAGCAGCAGCAGTAGCAGCAGCAGCACTCGCAACAACGAGAGGCGAGGCAAAAGCGAAACAAGGCCGAGAGATCGTCGTGTATTGATGTTCGGTTGTCATCGGTGCTGCCGTCGCCACTGCCGTCGCCACGAACGAAAATCACTGGACACAAACCGACGCATGTCCGCCGTCCGTTTTGGAAGCGAAAACACACTGCCAGTGGAAAGCAATCGCAGTGGGCCTAAATAAACCAGCGGGGCTACAGACATCATAGGCAGTTGCTATTGAATACGCCACACACACGTACGCTAACTGATGCCGATGACGGGGCTGGGCCTGCGGAAACCCGGCCTATCGCTCCTCCGCCCCGACATTGTGGGGATGCAAAGACCTAACGACTACGGCATGCGCTTGCAGCATATCGCTCCGTCCCGGCATCCTAGGGATGCCAAGGTCAAACGACCACGGCATGCGTTTACAGCATAAGGCTTCTCCGTCCGTAGGAATCCGAGGTCAATGGTCATGCGTTTAGAGTATATCGCTCCGCTAGGGATGCGAGGTCAACCGTCTAACGACTCCGTAGGGATGCGTCTACATACAGCATATCGCTCCGTCCGTCGGTAGGGACGCGAGGTCAAATGGTCTAACAGCTCCGTAGGCAGGCGTTTA